TCTTACATCTCCCGGGTCACAGTTCATCATTGAGCCCAAGGTAGGAACTCAGGGCAGGAACTTGGAGGCAGGAGCTGGAGCACAGGCCATGGAGGAATGCTGCTTACAGGCTTGCTCCCTTGGCCCCTGCTCAGCCTGCTTTCTTATGCCACACAGGCCCACCTGCCCAGGGGTGGCACCACCCACAGTGGGCTGGGCCCTCCCACATCACTCATCAAGAAGATGTCCCTCAGACATGGCCACAGGCCAGTCCAATAGAGGCAATTTCCCAATTGAGTCTCCCTCAACCCAGGTGTGTCAAGTTGACACTAAAGCTATCCAGCACACAAGTCATTGTGCCTTGGTTCTCATTCTAACTACAATATTTGTCCTAGAACAGAGGTGGGAATGAAGTATATGAAGGGCCATGACCTTCTATGAAAGAGATGAGGGAAAGAGAGGCAGGGACCCAGGTGGACCTTTTCCCAGTTTGGTCCAAGAATTAAATATAGGAAGGGGTCAAACCCATGATATATCCCAGGCTCCAAAGACATACATTTCAAGTCATCTGTTTTGGAAGTGAGACCCATGTGTGTGGTCCTATAAATTAAACATGTCAGACAGAGTAGGGTAGAATAACCAGAAAGAGTTTAAGTTTATTTCCAAGAGAGTTTAGGGAAGAATACCGTCTTAACTGGGGGCTCTGAGAACCATTGGGAAATTTATTGACTTTGTGACTCTTCTGCCTGTTTTGATACCATACATTTCTTTGGTCCCCTTTAGACTCAGAACCCCTCTCTACCTTCAAGTCTACAATAAAGTATTCTATGCACATCAACACCAGAAGATTCCCTAGTAGCTTTTAGTAAGGACTTACATGCTCAGCTCCCTGCAAACGTGTCTCTCACATTCTACTAGCTGGATGACACTTAGGATCCTTATTTCTCTGGGACATATAATCCCTAACTATGAAATAAAGTAGTTCTCATTCGTAGAGATTCTCCACCTAGAAATTTCAGGGCGTCACTTTTTCCTGGCTGAGTTTGAGAGAATACAGAAATTAGAATAAGAAGAACAGCACTGCTTAAGACATCTTGGCTGTTAACCGGAAATCCTATCCCCAGGCTGGAGATAATGGTAGAGTGCTTGCCTAACATGTGTAAGACCTGGGTTTGATTCCCCAACACCAGAAATAAATCTACTCCTTATTACCTTTCTTAAGTGATATTGAAAATTTGAGATGGAATTCCCATGGGGGCTTTGCTTGTGATTCTAAATTTTGTGGCCGTGTTATCTCTCACTAATGACAATATTGGCACTGTCTGATCTCTGTCTGTCATGTAAGAGAATTTGGAAAACAAAGATTGATGCAATAGGGTTAACAACCTAGTCAAAGGAAGTAGGAGTCCTACTGATAACGTTTACCCTTTGAAAAGTCTCTCTTTCAGCCCAGATTGAAGGGCTGATATTATGGATTCATGGCTGTGGGAAGGATGCCCAAGTTTTCCAGCCCTTTTTTCCCCAATAGCACAATTAGAATCCAGCAATTCTGCAGGGTTATTGAACTTGATCCAGTTGTAGTCTTTCAGGTTGGTATTTTCATTCCAGTTTCTCGTCAGACTACAGAGCTTGTGTTGGATGGTAGAGGCTCCCTGTGGTCTGTAACATTTTCTCCTGTTCTCAAAACAAGACCATTGTGACAAACACTATCCCCAAACTGTTATCAGCTTGACTCTACCCCCACACACTGCTCTGTAGCAATATCTTTACTCTTCAGCCTTAATGAAAGAATGAATGGACCAAAGAAAAGATTAAAGGGAGAATGGTGGGAAGAAACTGTAGGAAAGGGGAAAGGGACCATGGAGATTGACAGAAAAAGTTAGATATTACCACAGAAATTCCAAGACAATAGAGGCATTGTCAGAGCAGAGGGGTATCTCCAAGTTCCCAAGACGAAGACCTGAGAAGGTGGCCTTGACTCCCAAGGTAGCCTGGAAAGTGTGAGTGAGCTTTGCTTACTCTCCACCTGCTGCTGACCAGAGGGCTGAGCCCTAGGCAGCCCAGAGCAGTGAGGATCATTGGGTAAGAGACCCTTCCTTCAGAGCTGTGGGCTGTAGATACCATTAGCTACATTTATGACCTCAAGTACTTGGTGTTCCCAGCAAAACAGGAGTTGACTGGCTTTTCTCCAGTTCTCATAACCAAGGCAGCAGCTAAGGCAGTCAGATATTTCCATATTCTTGGAATCACCAGCCAGGCCAGGCCCTCGTCACAATGAAGTTTTCTGGATATGTGAGCATCCTCATGCTGTTCGTCCTCTTTGCAAACGTCCAGAGACCTGGTCTAACTGACTGGCTGTTTCCCAGTAAGTACTGATCTTCTGTTGCTGCTCTGGAGAAAGGGAATGTTGCTAGAAGGAAGGAACAAGGAGAGAGTCCTCAGATCTGGATTGCATTCCTCCATCTTAGCCCTGGATGTGGCTTGGGAGAGGAGGGAGATATTTACAAGGTCTCTTTTGTGGAAGGTCTTTTCTGTGAGTGCAGGACCAGGGAAATCCTTACTTCTAGTCCCTTTGAAGAGGTGTGTCTTTCCTAGGGAGGTGGGGAAGAATCATGGATTCATCATTTACGGGAAGGGCTGTAAGAGTCTGAGAATAAGGGCTCTTTCTCCTTAGCCCCTAGGAAAGGCTTTCTCCAGACATCACGTCAGGCTTCATCTGGTTCTTTCAAAAGTAGTTTTATAGTGTCTCTGCATGACTAGGGGTTTCTTGATTGACAAAGTGTAGTATCTAGATGTCCCTTTAAACTTAAGACAACATTACCCACCACTGTAGAGTAATAATGATAATTATTAGCATTTCCTCATCACTGACAAGTGAGAATTTCTAAGAGATTTCAAAGGGTTGGGGGGGAGACTTGAGTCAGGTTTTATGGGTTGATACTAGTAGCCATGTAATCTTGGGCAAATTAAATTTCATGTCATTCATTTTCCTCATCTTTAAAATAGGAGTGTTAATAGGAGTTGCCTTCCTCGCAGAATTGTTATGAAGGTTAAATGAGAAGACACATTTAAAATGCTTATGGTAAATAAAATGTTAGTGACAACTGACCACCCTGCAGTCACTATGAGTTTCTGTCTTGCTTCTTCTTCACAACTCTGTAGGCTATTTTTTTTTTTTAATAAATGAAGAAATCAAGTTTCAGAGAGGCTAAGTGGGAAAAAGCCGCTCTCTGGAGTCACTCCCTTAAAGGAGACCAATTCTCCCTCACCCAGCAGTAAGCAGCTGCCAACAGTTCTTGGGCTAAGATTGGGGCTTGCTGCCCATTTCCCCAGTTCTATGTTGGGTTTGACTTGATAGGCCTTAACAGAATGCACAAAATTGGGTGGGGCAGGGGGGGTCTGAATGCGGGGTGGGAAATAAAGATGATTAAGATGTTTTATATGAAATCCACAAAAATTCAATAAAAAAATGAAAAATAAAGTGTCGTTAAAGCTTGGGAAAATAAACCCTGCAGTGACTGCGGTGGGTGATAGAATCACTGTATAATGTCGCCCCCCAGAAGAACTCACAAACAGAATATACTAAAGTGGCCTAAACCACTGGCTTTGGATGGAGTGATTTTTCTCTCAAGGAGGCACTGCAATGTCTAGAGCCATTATTTGGTTGTTACCATGGAGAGGAGATGCTCTGGGTGTCTAGTGCATAGAAACCAGAATTTCTGCTCAAGATCATACAGTGAGGACAGTCCATATTACCAGGAAATGATTATCAATCCCAAATATCACCAAAGGCTGAGAAATTCTGCTTCAGTGGCTGGGCATGGGACTAAGGATGAAAGCCAGAGGTAGAAAGTGAGGGGTGCTCAGAGAGATTAGAGAAGGGTGTTGTGAGTAGTGCTGGGACATGAGCAAGGGCACCCTGGGGAAAAGGACTCCTGCCCTCGGGGTAAGTAAAGCTGGAAATAAGCATCCCTGGATTCTCAGGATTGAATAATTGCTTCCTCCCTAGAGAGATGCCCCAGAATCAGAGAGCACTGTGAATTCAGAGAAAGGGACCTATGTACAAGGAACAGGCAGTGCCAGAAAAACGAGAAGTGCTGCATCTTCAGCTGCGGAAAAAAATGTATAGACCCCCAACAAGGTAATACAGAGCTTTGGAATAACCATACTCCTCCAGCTGGGCCTCCCTTGCTGCCCACCTGGGCTGGGATTGCCCCCCTGGTTCACTGTTGGGTGGTCTCCAGGTAAGATTGCTAAACCGGGGGATCTGGGATTTAGATTCATTACTGTTCCTGGTATGATGCGTCACAATAATGTTCTCATTCTATCAAGTAATGCACGGGCTCCAGTTTCCCCCAAAGAAATGATGGGTATGGGAGTAGGATTTAATCAGATGGTTTCTTGATACCTTTTACTGTTACTGAGTCCCTGGGTGGCCTCTGTTCTCCTTAACATTTTTGTTGTTGTCAGTGACAAATGAAGCAACTTATTTTCCCTAGTTTTTGAGTGCTGAGCAATTGCCTCTCTTTGCCCTTAGGAAACCTTCCCTGACACGCCAGACCAGAGAAACTTTCTTTTTCTGTTGCACTCTCAACCCTATACCCACCTCTGTAGACTCCCAAAAGGCTATCAATGACTTTTCATGCATTTAGAAATGTTTACTGAGACCCACTGTATTAGTTCATTTTGCATCACTCTAATAAAATATTTGAGTCAGCTTAATTATGAAGAAAGGATGTTTACTTAGCTCACAGTTTTGGAGGCTGGACCAAGCAACATAGTGCAGGCACTGGCAAGAAATCCATGGGAGATGATGGAGCATGTGTGAGAGTGAGATTACATGGCCAACAGAAGCCAAGAGAGAGGCCAGCGTCCCACAATCCCTTCTAAGGACATGGCCCAACTGATCTAAGGGTCTACCAGAAGATCTTACTTCTTTTTTAAAAATTTTTATTTTGTACGTATGAGTGTATTGCGTGCACATATGTAAGTGCACCTGTGTCATGCAATGCCCACCGAGGTCAGAAGAGGGCCTTGGATCCCCTGGAACTGGAGTTACAAACAGTCATTAGCTGTCATGTGAGTGCTGGGAATTGAACCCAGGTCCTCTGGAAGAGCAGCCAGCGCTTTAAACTGCTGAGCCATCTCTCCAGCCCTGGAAGATCTCACTTCTTAAAGGTGCCACTACCCTGGGGAACAAGACCAAAATATGACCCTTCCAGGGGACACAGACCATATTCAAACCACATCTATAATAGGACCTGATTTTCTCACTGTGGTCAGAGGGCTTGGGAAAGGTTTATCTAGGAAAGAAAACCTAGCGCTGAGTTCAGAATAAAGAGCAATATTTTAGGTAAAGTGAGGCTGGAAGGGCTTACTAGTCACAGAGAATAACATACACAAAACCTCAGGTCCAGGGAGGCAGTGAGAGAGCATGGTCATAGTGACGGGAAAAGATCCTCGGTGGGTTAGGGTCAAACAGTCCCAGTCTGACGGGCTAGACTAAAGAGCTTCATGTTGATCCTAAGAACCATGGGGTCAAAGACAAAGAAAAGTCATGGTCTCTGCTATTTAAGTGGGGCAGTGTCATGACCAAAGCATGCAACACCTCCAGAGTAGGAGAGGGAAACAGGAGGAACCGAACATCTTAAAAGACTTCAGGAAGAAAGGACATAGTAGATTCAACTAGAGACATGGCTAAGTGCTGGGAAGAACGGGTTGTGTTTGACAAGTATTGAGTATCAGAGGATACCACAGTGGAGCACAGTGGGTGGGCAAAGAGGTAACACGCCACCCGCATGCTTGCACGTGAGGGAGTTGGAATCTAGACTTCAATTTCAGCAGGTTTTTAAAATCTTGAACAAATTCATAACTTCCCCTCTGTGTGCCTCAATTTCTTCACATGATAAAAGGATCAGTGGGAAAGGTTATTTTGAGCATCAAGTAAATTGATACCTGAGGAATGCTTAGAGCAATTCCAAGTGTAAAAGAGCCACCAGAGGCCTGTTCGCTGAAATGATTTGTCTCACTTGCTCGGGAACTCCTAAATATCAGGGCCATGCCTCTTCCTTGTCTCTGAAAGCATTTAGCAAATGTTTAGGTATTCAAGGAATGATTTGGTCAGTTTGGGTCAGGATACATTTCATTTTACTTTCAACATTCTATAAAGTTCTTTACTGGGCCTTGCTACCTACAGGAGTCAGAAATAAGACACATGCTGAAGATTCATGATCCTAGGAATAAGATTTAAGACAATAAAAAAATGATAACTGAACACACAACCTTCAGAAACAAGGTGGAGAAGTGCAGGCTGGATTTGGACAACTGTCATGGTGTGAGATATAGAAGGGAGTTAGGAGAGATGTCTCAGAGGTGTTGAGTTTGAGAAAGGTTTGGAAGATTAAGAGTGCTGGGCTGCTAATGAAGCACAGTGTGTGTAGGGAGTGAAGGTGCGGGGGTGCAGGGTGGCTTGGTCTGTTGAGTGCTGCCATGGCATGTGGCTTAAAGGGATTCTATGGCAGAAGAGGCCAGAGGCGTGAGTAGGAACCAGAAGGTGAAGGGCCTTGGGAGTCACAGAAGGACCTGGTCATTGTGGAAGGACATGGTCAGGTTAGTTTTCAAATCCACTCAGATTCTCCTCCCTGATGGACTCCAGAGGGTCAGGACTCGAGGCAGGAGAACCAGTTAGAGGATACCTCTGATAGAATATGTGAATTGCAGAAGAGCCACAAGCCTCATTAGGAAAAGCTATAAATCCCTTAAAGTATCTAACTGGCCCTAAATTGGCAGCCTGGCCTTGCTCAAGCCTTATCAACTGGTCACTCCCTGGACTGAGAGAGAACTTGTTTATGGAGCCCACCTATCTCCTTTAGTGCTATAGATAACTCACCCACCTGCCTGAGCAAATAATCTTCAGAAAAGAAATCCTCAAGGACACCAGACCCTGGCACAGAGTTAACTCTTGCAGCCGTGTGCAGCAGAGATCCTGTATAAGACCAGACTGCTCCCCGTTCAGAGCACAGATAATCATCCCTCGAGGAAAGCTATCAGGAAAAGCTTCCTGCATCTAGGGAGCACATTCCTTGCCTGTTACAGGTCTGGCTCTGCCTCTTATTTCTAAACTTTAAACTCCTTCCTTTTTCTGCCCTCCTAAATCTAACAACCTCAATAGGTTTAGGTGCGAGACTGTGAGACTTTAAGAGGCTGGCAGAGAGGTGAGCTATGAGGATGTAGAAGTCACCGTTTGATTGCTTTGCTGTGGAGTTTTACCTTCGAGGAACTTCTCATTTGACTGGAACCTGTGTTGGTTTGCTAGGGTCACTGGAATTAAGCATCACAGAATTAAGCATTACTGTTGGTTTCAGCAACAATAATATATTGTCTTAACAGTTCTGCAGGCTAAAAGTTTAAGACGAAGGTGCAGGAAAGTTGGTTCCTTCTCAGGATTCCAAGTGAGAACTTTAAAAGAATATATTTAACATTTATTTTTAATTATTATTGTATGTGTGCATGATGTGTGTGTGCATGCACACACATGCCACAGTGCATGTGTGGAGGTCATAGGACAACTTTTGGAGTTGGTAGTCTCTTTTTACCTTTACATGGGTTCCAGGAATTGAACTGAGGTCGTTAGGCTGTGTAATAATTATATATCTTTACCTGCTGAGACATCTGGCTGACCCATGAGTGAGAACTTTGTTCCATCTCTCTCTCTCTCTCTCTCTCTCTCTCTCTCTCTCTCTCTCTCTTAATATCTGGTGGCTTGTTGGCAATCTTTGCTGCCCTTTGGCTTGTAGATGCATCATTCTGATCTCTGCCTTCAAGTTCATGTGGCACTCTCCCTGTGTGCCTGTTTCTGCTCAAACTTAGCCTTTAAAAAAATAATAAAGATGTCAGGGCTGAAGAGATTTCTCAGTGGTTAAGAGCACTGGCTGCTCTTGCAGAGGACCTGGATTTGATTCTCAGTACCCACATGGCGACTAACAACCATCTGTATCTCCAGTTCCAGGGGAATCTGACGCCCTCTTCTGACTTCTGTGGGCATTGCACAACACATGTCCACTTATATACATGTAGGCAATGAACTCATGCACAGAAAATAAAAATAATAAATAAAATATTTTAAAAATAAGTAAATATGTCAGTCATATTGGATTAGGGGTCTACAGTACTCCAATTTGTAAGCATCTTAACTGATTATATCTGCAGACTAAAGATGTAATTCAGAGATAGAGTACTTGCCTAGCAGGTGTGAGGCCCCCAGTTCCATTCCTAGTACCTAAAGGGGGGGGGGCTGCCAGCTGTGTATTAGTTACTTTTGCATTGCTATGACAAAATACTCTAACAGAAACAACTTATACAGCAAAGATTTATTTCTGCTCATGTTGTCAAAGTACCTCTGTCCATCATGATGTCCATCATGGGGGAAGATATGTTGGAGTTCATGGTGTCAAAAGCATGTGGTAGAAACCCCTCACATGGCTTCCAGTTAGGAAGCAGAGAGCTTCAGGAACTGGGGGCTGGGCTGTAACCATCAAAAGTCCCCTCCTAGTGGCCTACTTGGACCACCAGGCCCCACCTCCTAAAGATGCCACAGCCTCCCAAAGCAGTCACTTCCTAGAGACAAGCACTCAAAATGTGAGCCTGTTGGGGAACATTTCCGGTTCCAACATAACAACCTGCAATGATCCTATCTCCAGGCATGCAGGGGCCCACTGTGGCGTCTCCTGGCAAATGTATGCTGCATGTCTGTGGCACTGGACCCCTAATGTGTGAGCTTGGAGAAGCATCTGTTCCAGAATCATTTATAGCAGTTCCCAGGGAGGAAAAAGATGCTGTTCCGTTCTGTGCACATGCTGAGTTCTCAACTCTGGGGTCTTTCTACAGATGTATGCAGTCTGCCAAAAGATGCTGGCTTCTGCATGGCTTATTTTCCTCGTTGGTGGTATAATAAGGAAAATGATACCTGTGATGTTTTCATCTATGGTGGCTGCCAGGGAAACAATAACAACTTCCAATCCCAAACCATATGCCAGAGTGCCTGCCAAAAGAAACGTGAGTCTTGGGGGCCCCAGTCTGACATTCTCACCAGAGCTATCCTGGGAGGTGTGGGTGCTAGCTGGCCTGATCCAAAATAGCTGTGTCCTTGGCAGACCTGGTCCTGATAGAACTGGATCTTATCTGGAGGGGTGACAGTAGCCTAGTGGCAACTGTGAATGGGAAGGAAGGCACGTGGGAATTAGCAAATAGGAAGGGATTTAAGAACGGGTGGAGCGAGAGTGCAGAAGGGGTGAAGTCTCGAGGACCAACTGCAAAATGATCAAAGAATGTTCGGCATTGTCTGGGCATGCTGACAAACTAACCATTCCAGGCCATCAGTGTCTTTATCACTATCTTTTGCCAGCAATCCGATTTCATTCTTTTTTCCTTGAAAGAGCAAACACTTCTTATTTTATCATGAGATTATTTTCAGTGATCATACAAAATAGCAAGTTTCATTATCCTTTTCATGCATAGATGTCATGACTCGCATACAACTCCTGTCACCAAACCTGCTTTTAATTTCCTCCTGTGAAAAGATGTAGAAGCATAATTCAAGCTCCAACAGTCTGAGCCACACGTGCTCAATGACATCTTTTATCTCTGTTCTCAACAGGCCCTTCGACCTGAATGGAGAATGGGTTGGAAAAATCACTGGGATCTGGCTCCTGCTCCAAGCTCTGCATCCTCCTGATCGCAGGACCTGCATCCCCTCCTACCATCCCTGTACACATAACACCTCCACTCTGAATCTCATCACTAACTGGCCCTCGCCTGCTCACCTCCAACTTCAAGAGCTCCTTGTTTATTCCTGTGTAGCTCTTGATTTTTCTCTATAAAGTGTGTTATTTAGTCCTGTGCCTCTGAGACTGAGTCATTCACAAATGGCATGCTACATTTTAGGAAGAGTAAGCCCTTGGTGATGTTTCTGTGACATCACTTAAAGGAATGAGAACAGTCAGACCCTTGAGAATTGGCAGTTCCAGGGATGCTGTTATCTTCCTGTTTCTTAACGAAATAAAAAGGTGACTCTCTAAGACCCATGAACAATGTCTTGGGTTAGATGCTCCAGAAACTGACCCTGGAACAAGGAAATGGGTTCAGGCAGTTTATTTGGGAAATCACCTGAGAAATACAAGATGGGGACTGTCATAAGTGATTTACTCAGAGGAGGGAGTGATTAGATGGTAGAGGGACTGCTGATGCCACAGCTCAACATACTTGACTCATTTCTAGTTTCACTAGCAGCAGTGATAACGAGTTCCAGGACACATTTTTTCCTTAGTCTATTTTTGGGATTGAGGTGATTTTTGAGCCGATTGCTACTGGGAAGCTGTAGCTCACTCCCACTGAGTCCCTTCAAGGGAGTCATGTGAACCATGTAAAACAAGTCTACAAATTTTCTTTATCTCCAGTGACAGGGAAGATGAGATACTGATCTAGTGGCTCCCATTCCCCACTGTACACCTGAGACACTACATCCCTCATTTCTCCAGAATGTTCCACATTTGAGCTGAGCAGATATCCAGGGATTCAGAGAAAATCTACACAGAGAAGCAGGCTGGCACTCTGACGGTACATTGGAGGTTATTCAGCCACAAGTACAAATAATATGTGGATACAATGCTTCACTGTGCTTGAACACGTGCTAGGGGCTGGGGGGGGGTGTCATAGCTCAGTGGGTAAAAGAGCTTGCCACCCAAGCATGAGAACCTGAGTTCAAATTCCCAGAAGTCACGTAAAGCCAGGCAGGGAAGCTCATGTCTATAAACCCAGTGCTCCTGCAACAAGATGGGAGACAGAAACAGGAGAAGCTCCTGGCCTAGCTAGCCTGGAGGACATAGGGTAGTGGCAAACAACAAGGGAACCCTCCATAAAACAAGATGAAGGAGGGAGAATGACACCCCACATTGTCTTCTGAACCCCACATGTACACCATGGCATGCATTCCTATACATGCAAACACATAGCACACACACACACACACACACACACACACACACACACACACACACCCCACATACTGTATGCTTCCATTTATATGAAATATACAGGAGTTGGACCTGATGGCTTAAGCCTGGAATCCTATCTCCTTGGGAAGCCAACTCTGAAGGATTACACATTCAAGGCCAGTCTAGACTACAGAGGGAATTCAAGGCCAGCCTGGGAAGTTTAGTGACACCCTGTCTAAAAATCTTTAAAAAAGTAGAAAGAGGGATAGGAATATAACCCAGTGATTCAGCACTTGTGTGAGGCCCTCAATTCAACCCCCAATACTGGCAAAGAAAAATACAGACTAGGTAAATCTAGAGATGTGGAAGTAGTTTCAGGGATTGGAGTGGGTTGGAGGAAACTAGAGAGTAGTTATTCAGACCTGGGTTTGCTCCAGGAGTAAGAAAAATGTTTTGAATGACACAGGTCTGATGGTTCCACAACCCTATAAATGTACAAAAAAAAGGGACACCTAATTATTGGCCTCAAAATGCACAGTTTTATATGAAATGAATTCTACTACAATAAAAGGACACTGTGCCCTGGAATAGTTTCTTGCAGCTACAGATGAAACTGTCGGGGAGTCAAGTATATTGGGGTGCAGCAGGAATAGTCTCTGCTGCAGCCCTCCATGCCATTGCTCATGTCCCCATGTGCCCACATTGTGTCCATTCTCTGTAATATTGAGCAGGAAGTACAGAGGAGCACAGACATGGTCAAATAGGATTCCTTTTAATAGCTGGCAGTCAAAAGAGGGCTAAGGCCAGAAAGACTCTCAACCCTGAGGAGAGGCAGAGTAGGGTTTATAAAGCTTAAAACCATAATTACATCATGCCAGGGGCAAAGCTAATAACCATAGATATATCACATCACCACAATTACACTAGACCAGGGGCAGGTCAGTTGACAAAGAGGTTTTCAGTTAACAAAAGCTTTCTAAGTTTCAATTAGGAAAAACAAGTTTCTCAGAGTTGCAGAAACAATGGACTCTATGGAGATGCAGGTGTAGCTAGGAGAGGGCATTCTGTCTGGCTAGTTGTGTTTCCCAGTATTGTAGAAACCATGTACCCATGAAATGTAGGTGCAGCCTCCATGGAGGGTGTTCTGGCTGGCTGGCTGCAGTTAACATGGGGTGGGGGTGTTGGGCAGAAACACGGGGTAAAGGAAAAGTCAGCTAGAACAAAATGGAGTCAGTTTGGCCATTTCACTCTTACTAAGGTTTCAAGATGGAAGTTGATGGAACGGTTTGGGAACCATTAGAGGGGCTTTCTTCAGGTCCCCACCTGCGAAAGCTGGTTCTGGAGCCTGCTTCTCTCCTGCATCACCTCTGCAAAATCCCACTTCATAACAGAAGTTCTCTTAGCTCTTCTTTCTTTCCTACTTTTAGAGAACCATGACCTGGACAGATGCTCACACTGAGATCAAGGTGTTTTCTCCCCACTCCCCACTCTGACAATGTCTTTGGTTTTTGATGATGGTTAAAAAAGGAAATAGGCCAAAAGGTAGGGGGAGGTAGAGACTGAGGACAAGGAAGGGAAATGTGACCAGCTGTAGGTGCACGGACCTCAGAGCGCCAGCTGCTGGCTGGCGCCGGGCCTCGCTGCCCTGCGGCGTGTTTGTGTGCACCGTGTTGCTGTGCGGATCCCTGGCCCTCCTCGGCTACCGGAGCTGGCTCCTCTGGCAGGACACTGTCAGCTGCCGAGCGAAAGCAAGACCTTCGGGAGCAGTTGACGGAAGGACAGGCGCGCCCCCCCCCCCCACTGAATCACAGGATTCAGTGTTATAGCTTCAGACAAGTGATACAGCTCAGATCTCAGTGATTCAGCTCCGATTTATTAGGGGAAACCAGGATATTTATAGTGTGGAGGCAGTAGCAAAAGCCTTAGCTGATAGGTGTTTTGTAGGATGCCCTATTTACATGTGGTGGTGGGCTTCTGCCAGGCTGTCAGACAGTGCCTGATTATCACACAGGAAAACCTGGCAGTTTCTGTGCCAGAGGCCATGTATCTGTGACCACTACTTCAAAGTGAGTCAGGAAGAGAGGCAGGAGGCCCCCTGCTGAAAAGAGGAGTCTTTCCATTAGACGCCGAGCTCCTTAGAGCTATCCGGACATGGAAGACTGCGACCCTCACAGCAGGATTCCCCAACAACCAGCAAGGAGAAAAAGACCCAGGCAGAGAGAGATTCATTGAAAAGGAGAAAAAACAGACACAGGGTAGAAAACACAAGGGGCACAGAGGGAAAAAGAAACAGAGTCAAGGCCGGGGTGTGCCTCAGTTGGTGGAGTGCTTGCCTGGTGTGTGTGAGGCCCTGAGTTCCAACACAGCACCACATAAACTGGGTGTGCACTCCAGGCTTATAATCCCAGCACAGGAAACTGGAGGTAGATAGTCCAGAAATTCTTGGCTACATAACAAGTTTGAGATGAGGCTGGGGTAGATGAGATCCTCTCTCAAGAAAGGGTGGGGGAGGGAAAAAGGGAGAGAGGAAGGAAGGACAGAAGTAATAAAGGAAAACAGAGCAGAGAGAGAGAGAGAGAGAGAGAGAGAGAGAGAGAGAGTCAGAAGAACAAAATGAAAATTTGGTATGCAAGGAAAGGAATCACAAAGATGAAGGACTAGAATAAACTTGATCTCCAAATTTCCCCCGGGGAAAAGGAAGGCTCTGGAATTGGACATCACTTCTGCTAAGAGATTCTAGAAGATACTCATACAAGTGTACCCATTTCCCTAGCAGGCCAAAGAAACACAGAAGACCAGAGCAGCCAACTGAGAGTCCTTTCCCTCAGGGTTGGCACTGTGGGTACCAGCCCATCCACTGATGGCCTCTGAGATTTGCTGTTCCCCAGCACAGGCAATGTGACTGGCTGGTGTCCAGGGCTATTTCCTGGAGTACCGGGCCAGGCAGTCACACAGGGCAGAGGCCAGAGCAGCTGAGTAGCTGTTGGGAGCCTGAGGCTCAGAATGTTGGTAGACTGAGTCTCAGCCGCCTCTCAAAACTGCTGACAGACCTAGCTGGCAACTTTCCATTCTGCCCGCAGCCTTGGCCCAAAACCTTGGCAGACAGCCGGGGCCAGTAGCCCGTGGCCTTGCTCTAGTTTAGGTGAATAGCTCTGTTCCGGTTAATCAGTAGATTCCTCCCTTAGAGTACATCAGGACCCCTGTGTTCTGACTTATGTGATTACTCATTCCTTGCTCCTTTGTTCTCATTCTCTACTTAAACTCATGCTTGTGCTTCAATAAATGAGACTTGATCAGAGCACTGGCTTGTCTCTTGTTGCTTGCCTCATCCTAATCCCCACTCCCCAATCCAGGTATCTCGTGGCAGTTCTGCTGGCCGGAGCCGAGCCACGGTTGCGGGGTGGCCTCCTGCAAGTAGCTTCTCTGAGTTTTGATGCTTCCAGCTAGGCTGCAGCTTCCTAAGATGAGACGATGGGGACTTCTGCCCTTCCTGGTGTCCTTCATCTTCCTGTGGAGCACCGAGAAACCTGAGCTGGCCAAGGGCTGCTTTTTCAGTAAGTACTGGGGATGCAGTCCTTGGCACGGAGAGAGGGACCTTGATGGAGTGAAAGAAAAAGAACAGTTTGCAGATGAGGCATTTTTTCCCCACCTCAGCCTGGGATCCTGGGTGGAAGAGAGATGTTTGGAATTGGTGTTTTACCCATTCCTCCTGGTTGTGCCCTTGGGTGAATGCAGGGACTGAAGTCTCTGGCACTTAACTCCCCACCACCACTCCAAGGAGGTCTTCCTGGAGGTGCCAGGCCTAGAGCTCATGAAAAGGTCTTCAGAAACCAAATAATCAAAAGGATTTCTATTTAAGGACAGGCCTCTCCCTAGCACCAGCCCAGGAGCTTCCAAACCTGCCCACTAAAGCTCCCAAAGCTAACCTATGACCACAGGAGACCCTCGCCTTTGGATAAAGAACAGCCTCCAGGTGTCCTTGGGATGATGAAAAGTGAAAGCTCTATACTTAGCAGCAAATACACAAAGGACTTAAGTAGTGGTGAAAGTTAGTGCTCAGGAGGCCACGTGACAGGTTCAGCTCCTGTGTCCACTCCTTCATAGCTGTGTGAGCCCGGCACAGGTTCACACACCCTCCCTATCCTCCTGACCCCTGTGTTCACTGGATGTGACTACTGACTGGACTTACCCACAGCTTTGACAGGAAGATTAAGAGAAAAAAGGCCCAACTTCATCAGTGTTAGTCACTATACCCGGGGAAGTGTGACAATGGCTCTGCCAACTTCGCTGCTCTAGTCTCCAACAAGATCCCCTAGGCAAACAGTGAGAGCTGCAGGGACTGTCCGCATACAGAGCCACATGAGTGAACAGCCCCAGTGGAGCAGGCCCTGCTCCAGGGAACTGTGTAGGTTGTGAGAACAGTGGTAGAGATGGGCTCAGGGATCAGGTGCTGAGTCATTATGGGGTTCGGGAAATGGCCAGTGTTGTGAAAATCCTGAACCCCTGAGGGGGACCACCTTCTGATGACAGATGAGGGGAAACAGGGTTCCTCAGCTCTGAAAAGGTGGCCTGGATCGAGGAAGGGAGAGCAATGTCCACTTCAATGCCTTGAGAACATGTCTTCTCTTCTTTCAGAAAGATGCCCTAGGTCTAAGGTACACTGTGAGTTCCAAGAAAAAGACCAATGCACAAAGCATACACAATGCCCAGGGAAGCAAAAGTGCTGCATGTTCGCCTGTGGAAAGAAATGTATAGACCTCAATGCAGGTACCTCTGAGCCCGGGACTGCTCCCTCCTCCTGACCTGACGGTGACCCACCCCGTCCCAAGTCACTCAGCGTTTGTCTCAAGGCCTCTTCTGCTTAATACAAACCTTGTCGGTGCTGGGTGGGAGACCTGTCTGATTTCATTTTCACCTGTTTCAGCACATGTGAGACTGTAGCTTTCCTTTCTGAGCCTCAGTTTCCCCTTTTATAAGATAGATGTGGCTACTAGATCACATGATCTCTTGCCTACTCTTTGAGATGCAAAGTAGCCACTGAATTCCCATCAGATGCCAACACTGAGTCAGGCTGTCTGGTGAGGATGAGGCAGGTATGTGGTATTTCCTGGCTCATTTGTCCAGGTGTGTGTCTACCATGAGTTCCCCGACTACCTGACCTCCTGCACTCTTTCCTCTCTACCTGTATCCTTGAGCTCTGAAGAAAGCCATCAAGTCTATGCATCCATTTATTCACTCAACAAATATTTATGGGTACCCATAGCACCCATGATGGGCTCTGCTTATTTTGGCCAAAGCGATCTAAGATCCGAAGAATGGATAGGGTGCAGGCAAAAACAGGAAGCTGTGGTCCTTGAAACACAGGTAACAGCTCATGGAGAGGTCCTGTGTTAGGAGACAGAAAGGCTAGCAGGAAGGGAAAGCTATAGATGGACCACGGAGAAGGCTCAGGGGTCTGGTCTTGATTTCAGGAGCAATGAGCTCTTTGCTCTGGTTTGGTTTGGTATGCTAAAATTAAGAATATTTTTGTCACTCCTGAAACAGTCCTCTGACAAACTATCTGCCAGGAGCTGCTGTACCAGGACAACATAAGATATATTCCTTATGCTTAAAAACTTCATTATTTTCAAGGAGTCAAAAATTGCAAACAAATATGTGATAAATGCTTATCATATGTGTAATAAGCATTTATCAAGACAATAAGCAAGACGATGCACCCAGGAAAGACATCTTTTGTGTGACACTGTTCCTGTGGAGATGTGAACAAATGTCTACTCACCCTAGATAGGGAACCAAGGACAGATCAAAGCAAGGACACCACCAAAGGTCAACTTGGTGAACCGCTGAGTTTATTGGGGTTACTTATAGGAGTTTGGGTGAGTGGTCACTTACAGAGGCAGAAATGACTCAAAGACAGCGGCCTCACCAAAAGCCCACTGGAAAACAGGTGAGAACTCATGAAATCGGGAAGCATGAAGCTCCTCAGATTGCAGAGTGTCCTTTCCAGGGAGATTGGTTGCTCTGAGCCTCTTCCAGGCATCTTGGCTGGTCTCCTTTCCTTTTAAGGTATTTGGCAGGTCTGAGCCTCTCCTGGGAAGCTCAGCTTGTCTCTGCTTCTTCTCATTGGCTGCACTGGTCTGAGAGTGTCTCTCAGCAGAATTTAGGACTTAGGTAGGCTTGGGAAAGGATTGACCTAGGAATGAATCAGTTTCAGGGGCTACTTGATGCTGTTGAGCTGTTTACATCCTGAGCTTAATGATCTTTCCTGCAGGATGGAATGTTTTACCTCCCCTTAAAACATCCTGTTCATTACCTCCTTTGGAACAGTCTGTTGTTTACCTTCCTTTAGAACATACTATTGTTTACAGAGCTTCCCTCAAAGATGGAAGGTTTTACCCTGGAGGAAATTGCTACATATCAATATCACAAAGGAATTGACACCTGGAGTTTCTCTCTCTCTCTCTCTCTCTCTCTCTCTCTCTCTCTCTCTCTCTCTCTCTCTCTCTCTCTCTCTCTCTCTCTCTCTCTCTCTCTCTCTCTCTCTCTCTCTCTCTCTCTCTCTCTCTCTCTCTCTCTCTCTCTCTCTCTCTCTCTCTCTCTCTCTCTCTCTCACACACACACACACATATGTGGGACAGGGTCTTTTATGAGCCAAGGATGGCCTGGAACTCACTGCAGTACTCCTGTCTCAGTCCCCGAAGAGTGGGGATGTCAGGCTGATGCCACGAAGCCTGGTTTCAGGGAGGGTTTGGAAGAATGAATAAAGTGCTCGTAGCTAGCAAGAGCAGTTGGGCACTTAACATAAAGGCATGGGATGAACAAGAACGTGGCCATTTTCAAGGATGAAGTTTGAAAGGATGAGTGTTTGGGGCGACAAGACAGGGAAATCTGCAGGAAAGGAGGAAATGGATTTTGGAGTTCTGAGTGCAGCTCTGTCCTGAGCTCAGTGAATCAGTTACTCTGAAGACTGATATCACCCAGATAAGAGAAGTCTTAGAGATCAGAGGGTGGCCAATGCTAGAATATGCAAATTGTAGAAGAGCCACAAGTCTCATTAGGGAAAGCCATAAATCCCTTAAAGTGTCTAACTGGCCCTAAATTGGCAGCCTGGCCTTGCTTAAGTCTGGCCTTGCTGAAGGCTTATCAACTAGTCACTCTCTGGACTGAGACTATTTATGGAGCCCACCCAGTTCCTTTAGTACTATAGATGACTCACCCCCTCTCCACCTGAGCAAATAATCTTCAGAAAAGATACCCTCAAGGACACCAGACCCTGGTATGGAGTTAACTTTTGAAGCTGTGTACAGCAGAGTTCCTATATAAGACTAGACCACTCCCTTTTCAGTGCACAGATAATCATCCCTCAGGAACAGCTATCAGCTCTTTGCTGGGCTTCCAGAATCCAGGGAGCATATTCCTTGCCTACTCCAGGTCTGGCTCTAACTCTTATTTCTAAACCTTAAACTCCTTTTTTTCTGCCCTCCTAAATCCAACAGCCATTCCTGGCATCCTGGCAGGAAAGGAAGAAAGGAGGGCCAGTTACCAGGCAGCCTACGAGGAATGTTCAGATGCTGAGGAGACAGAAGAGAGGCCATGTGCATTATGGCTTCTGCTTCCCACAGTGGTCCTGTACCACAAGCAGGCAGGGACTTTGTGTGATCATCTCACAGATGGGGAAGCCAAAGTCCAAAGGGGCCAAAGTGACTGGTCAAATTCCCTCTGAATCCAGAGCACAGCCCTGAGCCAAATTTGCCTCTCAGTGGAGACAAAGAGTAGTAGACAGGAGAACGGGGAGGTGGATGCTCTCCATGGAGACAGACATCCAAATATCTGTGATCTCCCTGCAGACATTTGCAGTATGTCAACTGATTCTGGTCCCTGCTTCAATTACACTCTTCGCTGGTGGTATGACAAAGAAAAGAAACACTGCTCCAAATTTCCCTATGGTGGTTGCCTAGGAAACCTTAATAACTTCCCATCTGAAGCTGTCTGCACAGGCGTCTGCAAGAAAAAACGTAAGTGCTACAAGTCCCAAATCCCCAAGTTCACCAGCCCCAACCACAGCTCTAAGGATCATCCATTCCAATACCTTGGTAGTCTTGAAACCGACAGAACCAGCACCAGTTAGAAGATGAGGATGCCCCCCTGTGGAGCTGTAAATAGAAGGGTATTTGGCAAAGAGAATAGGAAGAATGTCGGTTGGCCAAGGGAGATGGGCGTGTATGAGGTGAGCTGTGGGTGTAGAAAGGAGACACAAGTGGAGGAGGGGCCCAGACCAAGTCGGAGGAGGAGCGGGAAGAGGGCTGTCAGTAGCTCTTACACTGGGACAACAGGTAGAATTCAGGCAGATCAAGACACGTGATCCCTCTATGAGCCCCAAGCTATGTCATATCTGCTTTCACCTCTTAGCAGATGTAAAAACCATCCCTTCTCCTGTTCCATTAGCTGAAAAGTCTAGTTCCCAAGGTGACCAGAATCCAAGCATCTCAACCTGTTATCTTGCAGGCTTATTTTCCTGGTTCTGACGAGGAGAAGGAAGACCTTCCAGGACCTGGCCTCCTCCAGGTGTGTCTGACCACCACTCCGGATTGGCTGCCATCAGCTTAATCTTAGCCACTCAGACCTTGGCTGTTCCAAACACCAAATCCCAGAATTTGCTTACTTTTTGCCCCCTCAGCTGCTCTTCTAACAATGCCCTTCAACCTCTGACCCTTCCTCAGTGTCAGACCCTAGCTCTTCAATTTTCAGACATTTCATTTCCCAGGAACTTCCAGTTCATCCTAATAAAAGACCCTGTGAGAGCTGATATCTCAGAGTCTGAGTAATTCACAGCTGCAACATGCAGATATCTGTACCTATCTGCAGCCCCCTGTATGCAGTTTTCAGAGAACAAGAGGTTGTAGGTCTTCTGCTAACAACAAAAGGAGAGGAGAGTGTGAAATTCCCAAAATTTGAGAATTATGGTAAAATTATCATGAGATGCTGAAGCGTGTAGCAAGAGTCAGAAACACTAAAAACGAGACTCAGTTGAAGATTTTAAAATATGGTATAGAATATTTCAACCAATAAGAAACTCGTAATCTTACTGAAAACTCTCTGAAGATTCATTTTCGTTTTATTTATATGGGTGTGCGCGCGCGCACGTGTGTGTGTGTGTGTGTGTGTGTGTGCCTGTACATGTGTGTGTTTCAGAGGGTTTGCTGTTTAGTTTTGTGTTTAAGGAAACTGGTCTTACAGAACTACCTTTTCTAGACTGAGTAGTTGTTGCCATGGTTACTTCCTGTTCTCTTTCAATCTGCATATGAAGAGAACTTCATAGAATTATGTAGATGCAAGTGCTGGCGGAAGACAGAAGAAGGCACTTGATCCTCTAAGGCTGGAGATACAGGCAGTTTATTCACTAAAAACACAAAAACAGTACATTCTCTTTTGCATGGCTCCACAAAAGGAGAAAGTAATCATGCTACATTTAAATTGTAAATACTGAATTATTAATGATATGCTTACTCATAAAAAGACTTCTAATAAAGCTTCCATAAGAATTGACTTTTTCCTTGGGAAGCAGAGGCAGGCAGATCTCTGTGAGAGCGACGCCAGCCTGGTCTTCACAATGAGTTCCAGGTGGGCTGGGACTAGAGAGACCCTGTCAAAAAAAAAAAAAAAACAAAACTAAACAAACAAACAAAAACCTAAAAATAGGATTGACTTTTGGGGGCTGGCTAGATTGCTCAGTGTCAACGGTGCTGCTGAGGGTGAAGTTGCTTGCTGTGTAAGCCTGGTGATTGGCGATCCATCCCCAGATCACACTAAAGTGAACTGAGAGAACCTAGTCCATAATGTTTTCTGACCTCCATATGTGCATTCTGGCATGTGCACACTGCACTTATACGCACACACACACATACACACACACACAAATGGGGGGGATTTGTTTTCTTTAAAAATTTTTTATTGGGGCTGGAGAGACGGTTCCGCAGTTAAGAACATGGGCTGTTCTTGCAAAAGAGCCAGGTTCGAATACCAGGACCCACATAGCAGCTAACTGTCCGTAACTCCAGTCCCAGGGGATTCAACAGCCTCTTTTGACCTCCGCTGGCATTGCACAACATGGGTGCACTTACCCACATGCAGGCAATATACGCATACACATAAAATAAAAATAATAAATGAAAATTTAAAAAATTTTATTACATGGGCCTGGAGAGATGGCTCAGTCATTAAGAGCACTGGATGCTCTTGCAAAGGATCTGGGTTCAGTTCTCAGCATCCACATGGCAGCTAACTACCATCCATAACTCCAGTTACAGGGGATCCGACAACTTCTTCTAACCTCCGTGGGCACTGCATGACACAGGCACGCTTACATGCATGCGGGCAACACACTCATACACATAAAATAAAAATAATAAATAAAATATTTGACATTTTTATTATGTTATTTCACTTATTGGGGGGCATGCCATAGCAGGAGTGTAGAGGTCAGAGGACAACTTGTGGGAATAGGTTCTCTCTTTTCCGCATGTGGGTCCCGGGACTCAACCTCAGGTTTCAGGCTTGGTGCCAAGTACCTTTACCTGCTAAGCCATCTCACTGCCCATTTAGAATTTTATATATCCAATATTTGGGAGAATTTTCCAGCTATTTGTTTTTATGGTTTGAAACATTTAAAAAGTTGTTTCTCCTCCACAACCCACTTATTTCTATGACTAGGCAAGTGTGTTCTACAATGTGACCTCTAGCCCTGTACTTAAATCAAGGGAGCTGGGGTAATAGACAATGGAACATTGCTTGAAGCCATTGCTGTACCGGGGCAGCCAGCAGTGACTCTCTATGCATAGGCATGACAGTCGGTAGACTGAACACATCCCACTAACCCCAAATCGATATGCCCCTAATTTAACTTTCTCTTGTGTGGATGTCCAAATGCTGGCAGCCATTTTAATAGCACCTGGCCCGAGAGAGGAGGGACAGTCTGTCAGAGTGGAGAAGGAAGGCAGCCTGGCTGGTTATGCTTAGAACATCTCATTTTTAGATATTACCGGTCACTGAACCATGTAAACACATGGCTAGGGTCATTCCCAGAATCATAACAGGATCTGATCGAGGGAGGGGCCCTGAAGCTGCAACTCCAGCCTCTTCGTGGTAAATCCACCTCTGAAAAGGTTCAGGGACCTGTCTTCTGGAGCGGCAGTAAAGATACAGCTGTATAGGGTAGTGCTAGAAGTCCAAAATAGAAAATAACAGGAGGAAGGGGGAGGGGAAGCAAAGAAGAGCTGAAGAGGAAAGGACGCGGAAGCAGGGGAGGAAGAAAGAGAATGAGATGATATGGAGTTGTAAAGCAGGGTCTCAAAATTCTTTCACTTGCCCCCCACCTGCAGCAGGATCTTGGTGCCCTCCCTTGGACCAATAGAGGAAAGCAAAATGGTGCTTTGTGACTTCCAAGGTGGGGCCAGAAAAGGTGAAACTTCTACTTGGTCCCCCAGGAAACTGGGGGAGGAGAGTCAGGGAACAACTGTCATGGAGGAGGTCCAACCACCCCAAAATAGCCACACTTGAGAGGCTTGTGGGGCAGGGGGTGGGGGGCTTTGATTGGCAACCTCAAATGAGCCAATCGAGTAAGGTTCCCAGGCCAGTACATCTCAAATGACCACATGACAGATTATTTTGCAAATTCTTAACCCATCAAATCATGAAAAAAATAAATAAAACTCTGCTTAAACAAGATGAAAGTTGAGGACCAACACCCAAGGCTGTCCTATGGTGTCCAAAACATACCATGGTACCACCCCACACATGAACTCATGTACACACATGCCCAAAGATTTTTAAAAGCCTTACTATTCCCGAAATTTTGTACATTTTTTATTTTTGAAAAATTCATACATGTATGCAATGTATCTTGGTCATAGCCATCCCCCACCCTCTCCCTTCAACTCTCTCTGTCCACCCCAACAAATCTCCCATCTCCATCCTAACTTCATAACTTTTTTAATAGCCTACTAAGTCCAATTAATACTGTCAATATGTGTAAGTGTGTGGGTCATCCACTGGGGCAAGAGCCACCTACCAATGACAACTTCTCCAAAGAAAAGTGGCTTTCCCTCTTTCGGTAGCCATTGATTGCCATGAGCTCCTCAGCTATGAGTGCGGCATTAGGAACTGCCCCCCCCCCATGTTGGAATTCTTAGCTTCTTGATCGTGTGGAGGTCTTGTGCAGGTAACCACAGCTGCTGTGAGTTCATGTGTGTAACAACCATGTAATGTTCAAAAGACAGCTTTTCACAACATTTCTTCAGCTCTTACATTCTTTCTGTACCCTCTTCCACAATGTTCCCTGATCCTTGAGGAGGGGGGCTTGCTATAGAGGTTCCACCTGTGACTAAGTAGTTACAATCATTTAGTCACAGCGTTTTGAACAGTAGCATGTCTCTGCGTTAACCACTACACTCAGTAATAAGAAACATCTCTAATCAAGGAAAGGAGCAGCACAAATCTATAGCTATAAACACTCTGTTCAGATCCGCAGCCTGTTTTTAATTGGCTTGTTTGTTTTCTTGACGTACAGGGGTTTTATTTAGTCCTTTGTATATCCTAGACACTAATTCTGTGTCAGATATATAGATGGCCAAGACTTTCTTCCATTCTGAAGGCTCCGTTCACATTTGATTGACAGTTTCCTTGGCTGTACCAAAGCTTTTTTAGTTTCATGAGATCACACTTGTCAATTCCTGCTCTTGTTTCCTGTGATATTGGAGTCCTATTTAGAAAGTCTTTACCTGTGCCTATAAGTTGTACCCCCACTCTTTCCTCTAATGGTTAATTTTATATCCTGCCAGCTTTCTGAAATTATTTGTCAGCTCTGGGAGTTTTTTGTTTTGTTTTGTTTTGTTTCGTTTTGGCATAGCCTTTAGGAGCTCTTATATAAAGAATCATACCTTTTCCAAATAGGGATTCTTTGATTTGTTTTCCTTTGTGTCTTTCTGTCTCTTCCACTTGTCTTATTGCTCTAGCTATGACTTTGGGCACCACGTTGAATGAGAGTAGAGAGAGTGAACATCCCTGTCTTGTTCCTGATCTTAATGGAAACTTTTTGAGTTTTTCTCTGTTTAGCATGATGTTGGCTATAGGTTTGTTGCATATAGACTTTGTCATACTGAGGTATGCTCCGTACATCCTTAACCACTCCATGACTTGTGTCATGAAGGAATGTTGGACTTTGTCAAAGGCTTTTTCTGCATCTAATGAGATGATCATGTAATTTCTGTCTTTGAGTTTGTGTACACGATGGATAACATTTGTTGACATTATGTATGTTGACCATCCCTGTATCTTTGGAATGAAAACAACTTGATCATGATGAATGATCTTTTTATATAAGTTTGCCAATATTTTATTGAGAGTTTTTGCATTTATGTTCATCAGGGAAATCAGTCTGTAATTTTCTTTTTTGTCTCGTCTTTACCTGGTTTTGGTATCTGGGTAATGCTTGGTTCATAAAAGAATCTGGAAGCTCCCCCTTTTTCTATTTCATGGAACACTTTCAGTGGTATTGTGTTAATGTTTCTTCAGAGTTCTTTTAGAATTATGCAGTGACTCCATCTGGCCCTGGGCTTTTTTTAGATGAGAGATGTATTACTGGCTCAATCTTCTTCTTGGTTGTGGATCTGTTTAAATTACTTGCTTCATGTTGGTTTAATTTGGGTATGTTGTATGCACCTAAGAAATAGGCCATTTCTTTTAGATTTTGTAATTTCATGGAATAGAGGTTTATAGAGTATTTCTTTATGATTTTCTGAATTTCATTGG